TATTTTATTTAGAGACAGGGTCTCGGTGAGTTGTTAAGTGCCTTGCTAAGTCGCTGAAGCTGGCTTTGAACTCATGATCCTCCTGCCCCAGCCTCCCAAGCCACTGGGGTTACAAGCATGCGCCACTGCGCCCAGCTCTCCCCTCTTCTTATATCCACCTAGTCCTTGAGAAGAGGTGGGAAGGCTCAGGACCACAGTTCTGAGGGAGTGGGTCCATGTTCTCACTGAGCAGCTAGGAGGAGAGGGATCCCCTGCACCCAGCCATGGGGCCAGAGCTAGAGCTGGAGAGGGACATGGGGTGAGTAAGGTGAAAGGYGGGGGCTGCAGAGCCTGAGTTTCCCTGGGTTTCCCTTGAGGCTGTGAGGGGCCAGATTGAGAGCCAGCCTCTCTAGGTCTAAGTGGCCCCAGCTACAAGCCTAAAAGTCAAAGGCCAGTGGGAGCAGCCTGTGGCCCCTCACGGTTCACAGTGTGCTATTGCTCCAGAGTCTCCTCTCTTCAGAGTTCCTCACATTCAACTCACAGCAGCCAGACCTCCCCCAATGCCCATCTGGGGGCAGTGTGGCCATCCTCTCTCCAGGACGTCTGGGGTGGCAGGGCTGTCCTCTGGCTGCAGGGACCCTACTTAGTGCCACCTCAGCATCCAGTCCTCCCTATTGTAGCTGCTGCCTCCTCCTCTGTCTCCCCCTCCAGACTGTGTGTACCTTGGGAGTCAAGTCCACGCCCCTTCCATCCCCGTGGCCGGCATGATCTGTACATTCCCTGGCCCCAATGAAGCACTCAGTGCAGCTTTGTGATAAATGAATGAATCACCCAGTCATCAGGAGGGGCTCCCCAACTGGCAGGACTCTTCACTTCCCACCTGCTACCAGGTAGTTTCAGGACCTCCTGGCCACTCAACTCTGGGACTGGCCAGAGAAACAGTATCAAGTCACAGCACTTAATCTGCATAGTCTCTGTGCAGTTCCTTCCAGGGCAGGCAGAGAAGGTAGCCCCTCATTCTGTAAATGAGGAGCCAGTCTCAGGGAGATGTGAGGAGTGCAGAAGCTGGGACTGCTGACACCATTGACCCCGTCTCATGCATAGGAGCCTGGCTGGTACCTTAGAGCCATCCAATTGGCCAAAAGGGGACAAAGGAGAAAAGGCCAGATTCCAGAGGCTTTGGCAGTGGGAGAGCTGCTTATGCTGTCCTCCCGGAAGGGGTGGGGCATAGGAGTCCAGAGTGCTTGGACACCTGGCAGGACACACAGGAGCAGAATGAATGGGCCCAGGAGAATCCTCTAAGCCCTGCTGGCTGGGTCAGCACAAAGGAGAAAACAATGCTTCAGCCCCAGAGAAGTATTTGAGTGCAGGCTGCCGGACGCTTATCAGGTCTGTCCTCAACAAGGAGAGGGTGGGCGTGGCTCAGGCTTTCCCTTCATGGAGGTCCCCGCTCCAGGTGAAGGGCAGACTGTGCACCAGTTCTGCTGCTGGGCTGGGCAGAAGATGAGCAGCTCAGGATAGAAAGGATAAGCTGCATCCCCCAGTTAGAAAGCACTCAGAAGCCTGGCCCCATAGGTTAGTGCACACCTAAGATCACAGCCACTTGGGAGGCTGAGATATCACAAGTTGGAGGCCAGCCTCAGCATTTTAGTGAGGTTCTAAGCAACTTAGTAAGACCCAGTCTCAAAAATAAATAAAAAGAGCTGGCCATGTAGCTCAATGATAAACTGTCCCTGGGCTCGATTCCCAGGACCAAAAGGGGAAAAAAGTAGTTCAGCATGAGGGCTGGGGTTGGGGCTCAGTGGTAACCCGCTTGCCTAGCATGCAGGAGGCACTGGGTTCCAATCGCAGCACCACATACAAATAAATAAAATAAAGGTCCATCACCAACTAATATATATATATATATATATATATATATAAACTGTTCAGCAGGTCACAGAGCTGAGACACCCCCCCCCCACACACACACACACACCCAGTCTGGAGGGAGAGGACCCAGCTGCTTTTCCAGAATGGAATAGCAGACTCCCAGTCGTCCCTGACCAGCTGACCCTGGTAAGAAGAAGAGGGGTGGGTGGAGAAGTCTGCAGGCAGAAGGAGAAAGCCAGCCCTCCACCCTCGCCTGTACTCAGGCGGCCAGCCCAGGGAGCATGCCAGGAGGGTGGCGGGAAGCACTGCAGTAGCCTCAGGTCTTGAGTGCCCTCCCCAGGGAGCAGGCAGCACCTCCAGACAGGAAGAGAACAGCATAGAAGGGAGTTGGGCTGGCCCCAGAAACCTGGCCTCCACTTCTCCCCAGTCACTGCTGTGTGCCCTGAGCAAGTGACTTCAGCACTCCAAGCCATCAGTTTCTCCCTGGATAGGTAGGCCAGCCTCCTCCCAGGAGTCAAGGAGATAGTGTGGGTGAGAGTAGACATGGGAGGCTGGTCAGGTCTCAGTTTCCCCAGTCAGCAATCAAGAAATACTTACTGGGCACCTACTATGTGCTGGCTTAAGACTATTGGCTTAGGAGTCACACTGGCCAAGGTTTAAATCCTAGGCTTCTCAGATGTGGGATCTGACTGCCTGTAATCAGCAAGCCTTGCTTTACTACCTATCAAAGGAGGCAGTACTGGAAGCACCTCACTAGATAGCTTGGAAGATCAGACGTGGTGATGTATGTAAAACTCCTAACACAGGCTGGCAGTGAGCTGACATCTGCGCTGTGCGGTTGTCAGGGACCAGGGATACAGTATGAACGAGACAGACTTCCTGCCTTCAGACCTGCAGGACTGACATTAACCAAATACCTAAAGAAGCATTTCCTCAAGGAACCACCTTTAGACCCAGCTATCCCACTCCTTGGTTTATACTCAAAAGGACTTAAAATCAGCATATTATAGCTACCTCAAGGTTTATAGCAGCTCAACTCATGATTGGAACCAACCTAGATGCCCTTCAATAGGTGAATGGACAAGAAAAACGTGGTATATATACACAATGGAATATTATTCAGCATTAAAAGAGAATAAAACCATGGCATTTGCAGGTAAATGAATGGAGCCAGAGAATGTCATGCTAAGTGAAATAAGCCAATCCCAAAGAACCAAAGGTCCAAAGTTTTCTCTGATATGTGAATGCTAACTCACAATAAGGGTGAGGGAGCCAGGAGCTAGGGAAGAATAGAGTTACTTTAGGTAGAGGGGAGTGAAGGGAGGGGAGGGGTATGGGAATAGGAAGAATAGTAGAATGAATCAGACATTATAACCCTATGTGCATGATCGATGTGATTCTATATCATGTACAACCAGAAAAATGACAAGTTACACTCCATTTATATATGATGTATCATAATGCATTCTACTGTCATGTATAATTAATTTAAAAAAAATATTTTTTTTTAAAAAGAAGCTTTTGGGGGGGCTGGGATTGTGGCTCAGAAGAAGAGCCTTGCCTCGCATGCATGAGGCACTGGGTTCAATCCTCAGCACCACATAAAAATAAAATAAAGATATTGTGTCCACTATAACTAAAAAATAAATATTAAAAAAAGAAGCTTTTCCTCATAGGCAAAATAATAGGCTGGACCCAGCGGTTGACTTGGTTCCTCTGGAGGTGTCTCTGAGACTATAGACTTCTGCCAAGGTCTGCCACACACACTGCACGTCCCCCTGGGGCTGCTGGCCATCTGTGCCCAGGAGTGGAGACTTACCTGCTTGCTTTCTCTTGAATTGCACACCTGCAGTATGACTGGGGACCCAGGAGAGGACATTAAGGTGGAGGTGGCAGCCAGGCACTTCCCCTGCTGCTGGATGAGATGGTCACTGAACAGCCATGCCTGTAAGACCAGGGAAGGACAGTTCTAGATGGCCAGATGGGCAGACAGGTGATAAAGCAAATGCAATGTGTATTTTTGTAGAATATTTTTACAAATGATTGTAGAAGCTGGAAGTGGGTGTACGGGTATTTATGGTACAATTCTTGGGGGGGGCTGTATTTTTCTGTATGTTTGAAATTTTTTATAATCAAATACTGAGGTGAGGAAGTTCAGCTGGAGCTGGCCAGAGAGAAACCAAGGAAATACCAAGGGACCCAGGGGATGGGGGATAATAGGACATGGAGCCAGGCAGCCAGGGAGCTGGTCCACGCTGGGGTCTCATGACCTGCTCTAGTGTTGATGTGGATGTGACACTCATGTTCACTCGTGTGTTCAGTTCTGGGGCCTGCTGCTCATCACATAGCTGTGACCCAGGAGAGAAGGGGCCTCTCTCCCCCTGCAAGTGTGTGGTACCCAGAGGGCTAAGAAGACGCGTCAGGAGCATGAAGACCCTGGGAAGGAGGGTGTGTGGAGGGTGTAGCTAGACAGGATGAGAATGGGTCCAGGAAGTTGACCCTATTGATGGTCAATGCCCCTGGCTCCTGTCCCACGCCCAGATCTGACCCCGAGGCCCTTCCCAGCTTACCTGGGCTGGTGGGGGATTCTTGGCAGACCCTCTGCAGATCCCCATTCCAAGCAAGAAGTCCCCAGCTGTGTTCTGGCCCTGGGATTCTAAGCAATTAACCCCCTGCTTAATAATGCCAGGAAGTACTTCCTTCACCGGGACACTGAGGAAAAAGACAGCCGTCAGCCTGGTCCTCTGCGCTCCCCAGCCTACCCATGCCCTCTGGCAGAGGGCAGTACCCAGGCACAAGGCCACTATGACCTTCAGTCGTGGCCAGCAGTGGGGGGGGAGGGACAGGGACAGCCTCGGTCCCAGTGTTTCCCAGGATTCCCTGAAGGACAGGTCTGAGAAGAGGACCCTGGCAGGAGAGAGCTCAGACTGGAACACGGGACCTGGAAACAGGGAGAGGCTGGGGCCTAAATGTGGGACTAACAACCATCTCAAAATGATAAGGAAAGGGTGATTTTGAAGAGGCAAACTTAAAACATACAGATATGACAGTGTGTTCAATCTCACTGAGGATTAAAGAAATACATAATAGATGGTCACCATTATGTTCTCCATATAGACTTATATATGCACATACAGGCATGTATATATTTAACGACAATGCCCAACGTTGGCAAGAGGATGTGAGATTGACTCTTCTCATACCCCACCAGTGAGCACATGTTGGGAGGGTAGTGTGGTATTATGATTCAAAGCCCTCAAAAATGTGCACACCTCTGACCTAACAATGTCACTTCAAGGAATTTATCTTAGGGAAATGATTAAAGATGTGTTAAAAGATATTCATCTCAGAATGGTTGATACTGAGAACACTGGAAATTCCTAGTTGTCCAACAATAGGAGCTGGGCTAAATAAATTCTGATTTATCCACAGGTTAGAAAATCCTGCAGCCATTATAAATGACTTTGTGAAAGACTACCTGGTAATCTGCAAAAAATATTCATAGCATACTGTCAAGTTAAACAAGCATACTGCAAAATATTACATTATTAAAACTTTTTAAACATTTTTTTAGTTGCAGATAGACACAATACCTTTAATTAATTTATTTATTTGTATGTGGTACTAAGGATCGAACCCAGGGCCTCACAAGTGCTAGGCAAGCGCACTACCACTGAGCCACAACCCCAGCCCCTATTAAAACATTTTATATGCCCAGGAAATGCTTAAACACACACACTGACACTCTTTGGGTAATGAACCTAGAAGGCTGCTGGCCCCAGCTGGTGTGGTCTTATACATCTAGGTTTAGAAGTTTCTTGGAATTTGGATCCTCCAGGGGGTGATAAGGAACCTGGAGGTTAGAATCTGACCTTTGTCTACTCTTATCTGTCTCCTGGTATCTTTGTCATAGAAAACATGGGCCTGGGGTGGGGTATCTTAACATTTCCAGCATTCTTTGATGTGGACACCTTCCAGGATCTTGACCAAACCAGGGCTTTCTCAGGCTGGCCAGAAGCCTACGGAACCACAGGACCTGGCTCCCAGGGGGTACTTGTCACGTCCTCTCCCTCCCCCTGCAGCAGCAAGCCTGCCTCCAGACCCTCCTTGAGAGGTTGGGCAGCTCTAGAGCAGCGGTGGCAAACTGCTGGCCTCCGAGCAGAATCTGGCTCTTAGGAATGTTTGTCTGACCTGTTCAGGGTGGTTGTTATTTGGTTTTCATTAGTTGGCAATAATTTTTTAATTTAACGTAACAGAAAAATCTGAATTTGGGCTCTCTTGGAAAAAACAGAAAGATCAAGCCTCAACATGCTCATATTCCAACATGACACTAATCCACCGTCTGTGTAGTAGCTGTCCCTGCTGGACCGGGCCTTTGCATCTCAGTTTGCCACAGTCCTCACCATTCCCCATTCCTCATCCCACCCACCTGACTTAGTTACATCACCTGTCTGACCATCATAAGCATCTGAGTTGGCAACCCTTGCTAGGTACAAGGGCTTGGGGGACAAGAGATCCACCCTCTCTGCCTTGTCCAGTGACAATGTGTTAGATTTCCCTCTCTCCAGAGACCAGAGGCCTGCTGAAGCCTCTGTGGGAACTGTGTGGAGGACGGGGGTCTGGAAAGGCTGTGAAGGCTCCAGGGCTTGCTCCTGACCCTCCTGTGCTCTGCTTCTCCCCACGTGCTGCTGCTGAGGGAGGTGTGACAGCTCATGTAGGGGGCAGCGGGGTGGGGCAGTAAGTGTGGCTTCCCATTGACACTAGCAAAGAAACCCTGAGCTGGACAGCAAGCTCAAGAGCAGGTGCAGCTCCTGATGTCACTCTGTGGCAGTGGTCCTGGGGCAGAGGGGATAGCAGTGATCACCACTTCCCCAGCTGCCTTCCAGAGGACTGAGCTGCCGGGTTTGTTGGTGGCCCTCTTAAGTCTACCCCCGATTCCCTTCCTACGGATCTGCTCTAAGCAGGACTGACATTAGACCTTAAGATGCCTTAGAAGTGAGACATCTGTCCCCACTATGTTTTCCATATAGACTTGCATATATATATACACACACACACTTAATGACAATGTCCAATAGAAGAAGATATCTCTTTATAGAAGTAAGACATCTGTTTCTCAAGATGCTACACTTCTATCCAATAGAAAATTGTCATAAGGGCTGGGGTTGTGGCTCAGGGGTAGAGCGCTCGTCCAGCACGTGTGGGTCCTGGGTTCGATCCTCAGCACCACATAAAAAATAAATGAATAAAAGTATTATGTCCAACTACAACTAAAAAATATTTTAAAAAAAGAAAATTGTCATAATACACTGATTTGATTAGAAGAATATTTTCTGCCATCTGCTTGGAATTATAATGAGCACTCAATGTCTACTCTGTGACCAGCACTCTCACAAATGCATAGCTCAGCCGGGTAAAATGGCACACATCTGTACTCACAGAGACTTGGGAGGCTGAGGCAGGAGGATCTCGAGTTCAAGGACTGCCTCAGAAACTTAGTGAGGCCCTGAGCAACTCAGTGAGACCCTGTCTCTAATAAAATATTAAAAAGGCTGTGGCTCAGTGGTAGAGTGCTTGCCTAACATGTGTGAAGCACTGGGTTTGATTTTCAGCACCGCATATAAATAAATAAATCAAGGTCCATCAACAACTGAAAAATATATATTTAAAAAATATATATTAAATATATAAAAGGTGCTGGGGATGTGGCTCAGAAGTTAAGCACCCCAAAAAATAAAAATCAAAATCAAACAAACAAATGCGAGGCTCACACAATCATTCTTGACAGTCCTGAAAAAAGGCAATAAATTAGTGGCTGTGGCTTTGGAGGGCAACTGCAGAGGTAGGGACTGGATGGGGATGGAGCTATGGAGGAAGTGCTGCAGGCTTAGGAGAATGAAACCCTTCTCCTCCAGCCTCCTCAGTCTTCCTGTGACTATCTGAGCAACATGGCCAGCTATTAGCCTCCTGGTTTTGGAGGGAAGCTGGCATTGCTGGGGCTGATACATCTCCTTTCAAACAGACAACTGATCCACTCCTGGCCTCTCCCTTGGAACTGGGGGTGAGCAACCCAGATAGCAATGAATGACAAAAGCAGCGGAGGCCCTCATGCTCCTCAGTCAACACAGCTGGTGTACTCTCTGCTCTCAACTTGGGATCCACCCAGGATCGGCTTCCTTGGGAGCCTTGGGGATGCCACTGTGGGCGGGGCTGAGGTGTGGAGAGGGAGGATGCTCCCAGTTCTCCCAGTCCCTCCCACAGGCTTCCCAGTCCTGCCCCTGGGGCTGGGGTCTGTGGGCTCCCTCCACATGTTGTACAAACCCTGACAGGATGTAAAGAAATGTGTCACAGAAGAGACACATTCCATGTGAATGAGCAGAGTCCCCTTAAAAGGAGTCACTTCAGGAAGTTGTTCACTTTTACATTTTTATAAATTAATGTTCTTCCCTACACAGCAATTATCCAGGGAGCTGAGATTATCCAAGCCACCAACTTTCCTTCAAAGGTGCTGCTGTGGCTCAAACTGCTGGAATTTCTTGGAAATTGTCTGAAGAGTCACTGTAGTCTTATTACTTTTGAGGCATGCTGTATTTGGGACCTGGGATTGTGTTATCTGGGTTAATCATCTAGCTTATTCCCTGGGTATGGCTATGGCCTAACTGTGCCTATTTTCTAGGCATCAACTGTACCCTCCAAGGACAAAGATTTGCCTCTTTCGAGGACACGCAGGCTCTGAGAGGTGGAGTGTTCCAGAGAGCCATGGCAGCATCCTTGGGAGAGAGCTGGCAGTAGAGGGACAAGCTGTGGAGGGAGGCTGTAACTTAGACATTATGGAGGCACACTGATCCTGCGATTTATTTAGTAAAAAATGGTTATCAAGCGCCTATGTTGTGACAAGCACTATTCTAGGTGCTGGAGGCAGAGCAGTGGCCCAAACAGATCCAAATCTCTGCCCTCCTGGAGTGTACAGCAAGCTGACAACAGAATTAACTGACCAGATATACCCTAGATGCCAATACGGGCTATGGAGGGAAATCCAGCAGAGAATGTGAGAGGGCAGGCTGCTGCCAGTTTACCGCATTCAGAGAAAATGTCCCGGAGAAGGGGACATTTGAGTCAAGAGCTGAAAAAGGTGAGAAAATGAGTCACTCAGATGGACCAAGACACTGAGAAGGATTTGGAAATAGGAAAAAGGGGGTCCCCAGCGGTCACAGCTGCAATCCTGTTGAGAGTGCACACAGGTTCCCAGGTGAGCACAACCCCAGGACATCACCATTCACATTTTGCTACCTCATACACTGGAAGAAACATTTGTCTACTTTTTTTCCCCCACAGTCTTGGTGATCAGATTCTTGGATGCATAATATTTGTTTAAATCAACGGGATTCACTGAGCCCAGCTCCGACTGAGAATTGTTTCTCCTTGTGCCACAGCAGCAGAGAAGCCTGCAGAGTGACTGTCAACAGCCTTCTGCTGTGGCTGTTGTATTTCTTCAGGATAAATTCCCACAAGGAGGAGGATAGGGTCAAAGGTGCCAGGGTTTCTGCAGCCTTGACTGCATAATGCAGTGCTGGGGACAATATCCATTTTTAGATCGAAGATACAGTCTGTTAAAAATTCGGTTCCTGTCTATCACACCTAATAGATAACTCTTGGCAATGCCCTATCAGTTTCGCCAGGGTCTTGTCCCAAAGATAAACCCTGGCAGCCAGAAGGAGCCAGACCAGGTAGGGAGATCCCCCTGGGCAGCACAGGCCCATGTGCAAGGTGAGGGTTGCACTCACGTGAGCTCAGGGTAGACGTTCTCCAAGTACCAGCGGAAGGACTTGCAGTCCATTTTCTTCCTCTGCTCAATCCGAGTGGCCACACTGAGGGGAAGACAAGGAACCGGGCAAGGTCACTGTGTGGGGAGGAAGCCTGGGAAGGATGGCAGAGACCCCTTCCAGGTTCCCAGAGGTTGGTCCCCTCTTCCTGCCTATTAAGGCATCAAGGGCGAGAGCCATGGAAACCTGCCCAGTCCAGCCGTGGCCACTTGCCTCCTGTCATCCCCTGACCTGGAAGGCCTCCTGGGTCTCCCTCTTTCCTATCTCAAATCCTGCTTGGAGCTCACCTTTCTGGACAAGCCCAGCTCACAGGTGACCACACTTTGCCCCAGGGTTCTCACTCCTGAGACCCTCAGTTAGCACACCACAAACTGGTCCTTATTTTTGCAGAGACTTTGTGAACTAGAAGCTGTCCTCTCCTGCTTTTCAGTTGAGGAGAAACTATCTCAATGTCAAGAAGAGCAGACTTTCTACATCTTTCAGGAGTCAGAACCATCTGGGGGTCCCTGAAACACCTCAGTTCAGCTTCCTCACCTGCCTCAGTCACACCGACCACAATGGCCACCAGCTGAGGACCCTCAGTGCCACCTAGCCCAGCCTCAGTTTCTTCTACAGTAAACTGGGGACATGATGACTACTTGGGAGGTTTTTGTGATAAGAAAATGAATTTAAAGGGACATGAAGCCCAGGATCGTCCTCAGTAGATGATAGTTTCCCATTAAAAAATACATAGTGACATAACTCTTTTTAAATGATAGATATAAATAAATAGAGGGAAGATGATTCATCCATGATTGATCATTAACAATGTTTTCAAACTTCTCTGACCACAACCTTAAGGAGGAGATAAATATACATCTTACATCGTGATGTAGTGTACCCCGAGTACACCCACAGGCACACATGCAGGTGTGTGCACACACACAACAGAAATGAGTTTTATAAAACAATACTTACCCTTAATTGCAATCAACTCTGATTTTCTATTCTGGTCTCTACTAATCTAATCTGTGGTGCTTTTCTCTTTCTCTCTTTTTTAATGCTGGTCACGACTCCCTAAATTGATTTCGCAACCCATCTGCATTTTGAAAATGCTTCACTCGACTGTAGTCATAACAGTCCACAACAGGAAAACAGACTGACAGATCACAATCTGACCGGGGGAGGAGGCAAACCTGAAACGCCTTCCACAGACAGCCCCTCCCTAAGAGGCCCCTCTTCCTGCATGCAGCTCAGCCCATGGATGGCACTGCCTTCACAGCAAGCCTTTTCTCACTGTCCCCAGCCCACCCCATGAGGCGCATGCTCTTCAAGGACCAGGGTCTTATCCCTGCATCGTGTACCCTCCCTGGGCCCAGAGGAGCCCAATCAGGGCCCGGTTGCCAGGGAGATCATGAGTGGCTCCCTGGCTGCACACCACTTCCTGTTGCAGGGGCCATGTTGACATGGGTGGAGGGGGACAAGTGGCAGGGAGGCTTGTTGGAGGGGCCCACCTGCCGAAGGCTTTCCCGATGGCCGAGGGCCGGGCCTCGTAGTAGTACTGCTTGTATTCATCCATCCACACCTCTGCTGTGCGCTTGGTGTTCCTAAAAGAGGAAAGAGCAAGTTCACCAGAGAGACAACAGGGGAGGGTTAGGATTAAGATGAGCTCTATATGATTTTTTTTTGTTGTTGTTAATTAAAAACATATTTGCTGGGCACAATAGCACACGCCTATAATTCCAGCAGCCTGGGAGACTGAGGCAGGAAGATCATGAGTTCAAAGCCAGCCTCAATAAAAGTGAGGTACTTAGCAACTCAGTGAGACCCTGACTCTCAATAAAATACAAAATAGGGCTGGGGATATGGCTCAGTGGTCCAGTGGCCCTGAGTTCAATCCCCAGTACCAAAAAAAAAAAAAAAAAAAACCAACAAAAAAAACCCCACATATTAAAGAAAAAAGTTGAGCTCTGTTAGTACAGTCTCGTTGGAGGACAATCTGTCCATATCCATCAGCTTTGACAAGGAAGACTGGGGTTAGTATGTGCTGACATGGAAGGACGTTATGACACAGTATTGGGTGGCAGAGAAGCCACTGAAGGATCACATGGCATACCCGATCCACACAGACACAAATTTAACTATGGTGGGTATGTCTGTCTATATACATAAATCGTATATGTGAAAATGTACTTAAAGGTGTGAAATGACAGACCAGCAATCTATTAACAGTAGTTAGTTCTTGTTAAGGGTCTGGAATGAGAGACTATATACTAGTAATGGTAGTTATTTCCGAATAGACAATCAGGATGCATGGAGAAAGAATGGGTAAAGAGGATTTTTGCTTTTTTCTCTGTAATAACATAAAAAATAAATATATAATATCAATGTACATAGTATGCATATTGGTACTGCTTGAGTTTTTACAGTAAACATGCATGACTTTTATGATTATAAAAAATAAAAATAAAAATGGGGTAGGAGAAGCAAACAAAACTGTAGATCACTCATTTTGCTAGACTTGGGTAGTTGCTCCTCTAAGCCCTGCATAAATAAGCATGGCTGAAGAAGGTGGAGACTCATCGTTAGGAGGAGGGGATGCTCATGACTTCCCCACCATCCCCTGGCCACCCCTATCAGGACACTGGGTCTTGGGGTGGGCTTCTAGGACTTTGCCCCCTCTCCTAAGACCAAGTGCACCCCGTGGCTGGGGACAGGGAAGGACAGATGCTTGACTGAGTTATGATCTGGGATACTGGGATCCAGAACCAAGTGAACCTAGGGTTCAGTGAATGGAGGGCAGCAGTTATTTGGTCATTTGGCCAGTTTTCCAAGACTGTCATGGACAAAAGGAGTCAAAACCAGAGAAAACTGGTGGTAACACTCCCAACTTCATCATGGAATCCCAGAATGTCAGACCTGGGAAGGGCAAATAGGAAAACTGAGGGCAGAGAGGGAGGGAGGCAGACCAAAGCCACCTGGTGAGTAACCATGGGGTGGGTCTGGAGCTGTGGTGTCCTGCTGGTACTCCAGGGCTCTTTCCGCTTCACCTACCTGATGTAGGTGAGGGCATTGCCCTCAGGGAAGTTGTAGGGGTGCCGCTTCCTGAAGACGTGGCCCACTCGGCTGCAGGGGACGATCTCCAAACTCCCACCGCACATCCACACCCTGAAGGAGAGCTCTGTAGGAGACGGCAGCCATGAGGAGGCAAGACGAGACCCACTGGGTGAGGGTGAGAGGGGCTGGCTGTCTCATTGTCTTGCTGGCTTTTGGGGCGTGAAGATGGAACCCAGGGCCTGGCGCACACTAGGCAAGCGCTCTCCCACAGAGCCGCACCCCAGCCCTCCTTCTCTTTGTTGTATCCCTGGAGGTACCTGCTGGGGTTGAGCTCAYGGGCCTGATTAAAGGGTGTCCCTTTCCTTGCACATGCTTACCCATGCATGTACACAAATGCCCTATGGCTGAGCCCTGGGGAGCAGTGGGAACGGTTTTAAAGGGACACCAAGACCATGAGTGGAGGGGAAACTGCACCAAACATTTCTTGCCTGGATCCAGAGGCCCTGGCCATGCACAAGCTGAGGAAGAACTCATCTGCTTATTGGCCAGCTCTGGGCACCTGTGAGCCCAGAAAGCCAACCGCCAGCCAAACCGCAGGCTGCTCCTTGGCATTTCTCTGGTTGGTGCCAGTCCTGCCTCCAGCTCCAGATGGTCCTGTATCCAGGCCCTCGTGAGACTCACTTCCTTCTGAGGGTGGTGGTGAAGCCCAAAGAGCTTTGCAGAAAACTTTGCAACATCAGGAGATACAAGAAGTTGCCACTGTGCTTCCCATAAGGGATGTCACGGTCTGGCCTCTTTGTTCTCCACTTGCCAATCCCCTTTTATAGCAAGGACCCTCCTGGGCAGCTCACTGAGCCTCTCAATCTGTTCTTTCTTTTTCATTTTATTTATTTATTTTTTTTAGTCATAGATGGACACAATGCCTTTATTTTTATACATTTATTTATTTATTTACTATATTTATTTATATGTGGTGCTGAGGATCGAACCCAGTGCCTCACACGTGCTAGGCAAGTGCTCTACCACTGAGCCACAAGCCCCGCCCCTCTCAATCTCATTAATTCCTCCTTCCCTTCATGTTGACCCTAGAGTGAGACAGCATGTGGCACTAAAACACCTTTTTCCTGCCCCAGAAAGTCCATAATTAAATAAAAAATAAAAAGGCTGGTCCTCTCAGGAGTTCTAGCCTTGATCCCTCTTCCCACTCCCCAGTTGGCCCTAAGGACTCTTGTGGTCCCTGGGTGGAGGCTGTCACCTGGCACACCTGGATGGGGGCCCTCCCCGTGATGAGCAGAGTGGAAATGGAGGAAGCAGCACTAACGCCCCCTTCTGTCCAGACTGTGCGCATCAGGCAGCGCTCAGATGTGGCCTGGGGCCAGGATGGCCATTTGGCTTACCTGGATCCATACAAGGTGGGTCATGTTAATGGGCTTCCCTAGAAACTGAGGTTATAGAACTAGGGACAGAACTGGGGGACAGAGGACCTATACTCTGGTTCCATTTCTGCCAGACCAACTTTGTTATATAGTTAAGTTACTTCATCCTGCTCAGCCCATGCCACCCAAACTATTGTTAATTACTGCTACTATTATCAACAGTGGCAATGACGAGAGAAGTAACCACCTTCCGTTTACTGGGAGCATTTACCATGTACCATGCTCTCGACATTCAAAATCTAATTCTTACTGCAGTCATGTAAAGTCAGATTATTATCATTCATACCATTTTGGGGTGATTTTTTATTTGTTTGTTTTTTTAATAATTATTTTTAGTTGTCGAAGGACCTTTTTTATTTATTTGTTTATATGCAGGGCTGAGAACTGAACCCAGTGCCTCACACATGCTAGGCACGCACTCCACCACTGAGCCACCACCCCAGCCTTATCCGTTTGTTTTTGAGTTGGGGTCTTTCTATGTTGCCCAGGCGGGTCTTGAACTCCTGAGCTCAAGCCATCCTCCCATTTCAACAGCCTGAGTATCTGGGACTACAGGTATTGATCGCTGCACCCAGCTATGCGTTATTTTGTTTTGTTTTGAGATAGAGTCTCACTTAGTTGCCAAGGCCTCCCTAGTAGCTGGGATTACAGGTGTGGGCCACCACAATTGACTTAACTATATGTTTTTAAAATAAGGACCGTGAAGGTCAACGATGTTAAATGACCTCTCCAAAGTCATCCAACTACTCACTTACAGAATTGCAACACAAAATTCACACTTTTAGGATCAGATTCTTTAGTTCATTAGGCAACTTTTTATTAAAAACCTATCATATGTCATATTCTAGATTCCTTTATCTCTAGTAGGGGGAGACAGAAATTCAGTAAAATAAGTGAACAAGAAAGTGCATAGAACATGTAGCATATCAGATGGTGGCCACGGGGAAGAGTTAAGCGGAGCAGGGGCTAAGGAAGGGTAGTGGGTTGGGGGGCTATATTTTTAATTAGGTGGATCAGGGAACTTCTCACTGAAAGGGGGACATCTGTGACAAGACCCAAAACAGGAGAGCAAGTGATTCATGTGACTTTATTGGAAATATCAGGGGTCCTGGGCACCCCAGGAGCCAAATAAACACTAGGTTTGACATTAAAAGACAGATGGGCTTGTTTTCCCTCAACTGTTAGGGAAAGAACTTTCTAGGCAGAGGGACAAGCAAGGGGTATACCCAGAGGTAAGAGCTGTGAGTTGCAGGGCAGCCGTGCAGAGTAGGAGACCTGGAGAAGTGGGAGATGAGGTGGATGGAGCTCATGGGGTGTGGTTTAGGGGAAAGGCTGATGGTGCAGGGCCTGGTCTCCACAGTGCTTTAAGTGACATGGAGCCCTTGCAGGGTTTGAGAAGAGGAGGAACACAATCCAGCTATTGTTAAAAGGATTCCTGGGCTGGGCAGGTGGTGCATGCCTGCAATCCCAGCGGCTCAGGAGGCTGAGGCAGGAGGGTCAGAAGTTCAAAGCCAGCCTCAGCAAAAGCGAGGCCCTAAACAACTCAGAGAGACCCTGTCTCTAAATAAAATACAAAAGAGGGCTGGGGCCAAGTGCCCCTGAGTTCAATCCCTGGTACCCCCCCCCCCAAAAATTAATAAAATAAACGATTCCTGAGTCTAGAGATATGACTCAATGTAGAAGGCTTGCCTAGCATGCACAAGTTCCTGGGGTCAATCCTTAGTACCACCAATAATGATAATAATTATAATAAGTAATCAAATAAAAATAAAATTATCCCTAAGAAGAATCCCAAAGATTTCACATTTGCCATCCCCACTCAAGGTGGCCTCTGGACTCCTGAGTTTGAATGTCCCAGGGGACACAGGAACACGTCTTAGTTTGGGCATCTTCCTTCCTTCAACAGAGGAATGAAATGAAAGGCTCCAACCCACCAGAGACACGAGTCTCACGCCTCAAAACAAGTCCCACAGCCGACTGGCTGGGCACTGCAGCTCACCTAGACATTTCTTTGAATGCACAGACGTTTCTTTGAATTTCTTGTAAGAAACAAACCCTCGGCAGAACCACTCAGCAGTGTTCCTTTCAAATTCCCCAAACTCAGGAGCCCTCGCCTCAGGCAGAGTCTGGAGTTGGCTATTTGATCATTCACTTGTCTCTGTCAGTCCCCCGTGAAAGAAAGAAAGGACGGAAGGAAGAAAGAATGGGAGGGAGACAGACAGGCAGGCTGGCCTCCGGATGCAGAGGGGCTGTTTCTTTTCCAGTTTTCTGAGTCTTTTTGCAAAACTGGCTTTGCCCACACTGCCTTCAGGCCGAGTCCCAGGACACAGAGGAGGTCACTGGGGCTCAGAACACATGAAAGGGGGTCAGGATGGAAGAGTCACTACACCCCAGCTGTCAGAATTTACTCTTCCAAATGTCTGCCTGGCAGCGTTTTCCAGTAGTAAGTTACAAAGTGGAGAAAACCGACAACCATCTCCACCAGGGTGGTTTGAGCAGGACTGCTTACAGCCCACTGTTCCTGGGTTTCTCGGGCAGGGAGAAGAGCCCTGCTCCTAACCTCTCGGAGACACTTTGACTTTGATAGCATTTCCCTGACACAGTGGCTCTGCTAGGAGAGCTGCATACACCTGTCAGACATGCCATTTCCTGATTGAGACACAGTGCCACCTGTTTCCCCACCTGTCAGATGGGTGGGACACCTCCCGTCCTTCTCGTTGGTCCAGAAACCCGGTCAGGATGAAAAAGGAGACAGTAGGAAAGGACCGTGAGGGTAGGAATGGCCTTGCTTCTGGAGACCTGCCAGGTGGCTCTGCCCTTCTCCACCCTGTGTGGGCTGCCCCGCTGGGCTTCCTTTAGGATGGCAGAGGGGTGAGGAGGGATTATCCCACGCCCTCCCCCGGGCACCACCCCTCTCCATCTTTCCTACCTATCCATGGTTACAGCTCTCTGCAGTTGTGGCACCACCCAGAACTACACTGACCCAGTCCATGTAACGTGGCCGCACTGTAAATAGGTCCTTTCCTAAAAAACCGTGTAGGGCGCCATCTGGACCCTGCCTGGATTTACTCAATCTGACTTCCATTTAATTGCACTCTGGGGGAGAGGGCCCTTTCCTTCCCATTTTGCAAACAAAGAAACTGAGGTTCAAAAAGTTGACTAACTAACTAACCCAGGACACGCAGCCCACACAGGCTGGAGCTGGAGTCTGGGCTCCGACAGGTGACAGGTGACCACTCTGGGGTGCTCTGCAGCCCCAACACCCAGCTGAGAAGCCAGCGTTGAGGGGGCAGCAGATCCTGCTCCCTACTGTCTCCTTCCCTGCTGCTTCTGGGAGGACTAGGCAGCTTCCTGATCCTTCTGGGTCTTAAGGGTTCCTACCCAAGAATACATAGCATTATGCCTCCAGCACTGTGGCCTGCATTTCAATTCCTCCTCAGTTTATTATCATTGCAATCTCTGCAGGGCAGGAGGCTTGGGGGCACTTTCCCTGGCCTAGGGTCAAAGAGCAGGTGGGAGGGCCATCATCACATGTAACCACCCATGGGCTGTACACCCCCCAAGCCCTTCTGGTAGGGAAGCAGCTGTGGTCTGTGTTCAGTCACTATGTCCCTCCACACACACCTAACCCTGTGGCCGCAGGCTCTCCCTGAATACCTAAATCTCTTGAATAGCTGTGGATAAATTGCTTTACCTCTCTCTGCCTCCGTTTTTTGATTCGTAAAATGGAGATCATGGTACTTTCCCCAGATCCTTGTGAGAATTAAATTACTTAATATGGGTCAAGTCCTTAGGATGTGCTTGTCAGGGTTATTAATATTGCTGTTGTGTTTATTGTTATTATTTTTCAACTTACCGAAATTCTCTCCCCCCCAGATGTCCATTTGGGCATCATATTTTCCCAAGTGGTTAAACCAAGACTTGTCAATCACAAAGATTCCTCCAGCTATGACAGGTGTCCTGGGGGAAAAGAGAGAGAAGAGGCAATGTGTGAGCTGCAGAAGCCAGGAGCCCTTTAAAGAGCCCCAGGACCCAAGGCCACTTGATCCAAGTCCCTGCCTGCAGAGTCACTGTGGCAGGATGTCTGACTGGCTCTCTGGCCCCTCCTCTCAGTCCCTGCAGGGCTCAAGCACCCAGAAGAGAGCTGGCACTGAGACTGTGCACCCTCAGGAGCCCTGGTGACCGGTCGGTTCTCCCAAGTACCTCCCAGTTCCCAGACCCCTGGCCCAGGGAGAAAGGGGACTCCTCAGAGTTCATGGCAGCCCTGACCTTATGGGTCTGGTGGGGTCTGTCCGGGTCATCTTCTGCTCCAGAGGGATCTGCTCCCACTTGAAATGCAGGCTCCAGTCGAATCCTAAGGGACAGAGCAGGGTGAGGACGGGCTTAGGGCAGAGCTAACCTGCTTATCCCCTCACTCTGCCACCCCTCAGAGTCTCCCTTGATCAGAGCCCAATGGTAGAGGCCCTTCATGCAGTCCCTCCCTCATTCAGAAGGTGACAAGCCCTGCCTTCCTGGGGTTTACAATCTGCTGACCAGACACCCACCCCAAAGGTAAATAGATAAGGGTTCTGTACACCAGTCGGGGTGAAAAGTACTTTAAAAAGAAAATAAAGGCCAAGCACCATGGAGCAAGCCTCTGATCCCAGCGACTCATGAGGCTGAGGCAGGATCACAAGTTCAAGTCCAGCCTCAGCAATGTAGTGAGACCCTATTTCAGACTTTTTAAAAAAAATAAATCAAAAGGGCTGGGGATATGGATCAGTGGTAAAGCATAAAGCACCCCTAGGTTCAATGCCCAGTACCTCAACCCCCCAAACAAAGGTAGCCAGCAAAGGTTCTCTGAAGAGGCACGTTTTGAATAGGGACCTGAATGAAGGGTGGATCCATGAAGATATCCTGGAAGAGGGAATTCCAGCCAGGGCAGCAGCAAGAGCCAGGGCACTGGGGTGATTTTCCAAAGGGGAGATGTCTGGCCCCTCAGAACCCCACCAGCCCTAAGATCTAGCTAATGGTTAAGTCCATTATTTGGAGTACTGGCCCCACAGAGGAAATCCACTATGGCCCCCAGCTCTTCTCTAGACCAGTGGTGGTCAGGAACTTTCTGCAGTGGTAGACTTGTTTTATATCAGCATGAATGTGGTAGCTGGGACCTCATGTGGCTGTTGAGCACTTGAAATGTGACTGCTACAACTGATAAACTGAATCATCAGTTTAAGTCTTAGTTTATTTTAATTAATTTAAACTTTAACAGCTAAATGGGGCTATTATCTATTATACAGGACAGCACAGTGCCAGTCTAGACCAGAGTGTTCCAAAAGAAATATACTGCAAGCCACAAACCTAAGCCACAGACATAATTTAAAATGTTCTAGGAACCATATAAAAACATAAGAACATATGAAGTTAATTTGAATAAAATAGTCATAATGCAATAAATCCAAACTAATATCATTGCAACCTATAAAAAAATACTAATGACATATTTTACATTCTTTCATACTATGTCTTGGAAATTTCAACTGCTGCAGTCTGTTTTTTTTTTTTTTCTTTTTTTGCTTATAGCACATCTCAGTTCCAACTCATCAGTTTTCAAAATGAGCCACTTTTCAAGAGCTCAATAGCCAAATGTGGCCGACAGCCACCGTATCACACAGCCAGGCCTTGGCCACCTCTGGGGTGTACATATCAGGAATTCACACAAGGCTTAGAGCTCCCCCTCCCTTACCCTAGAGACAGCTGTCCCATAGTGGCCTTCTGCCAGGACCTGTGGCCATGGTCTCTGGGCTGGCAGCATTTGGAAAGGATGTGCCAGTGCTTGGGGAGGGGAGATGAGTGACTAGCCCGGCTCTGTCACTGATTGTTCCAGAAACTTGCAACTGCCAGCTCAGGCCCTTTGCCCTTGTACCCAGGGCTCCATCCAAACCCTCTTGATTTTATCTTTGCAAGGAAGGGTTGGGGTGGTGCAAGACTCTGGCATGGCTGGGAAGAGCTCCAACCCAGGGCTCTTCTTCCTTCACCTGCCTCTTTTCAGACCTCAAGCCCCTTCCCTGGGAGCAGGACCTACCTCCACGAAGATCAGCAGATGCTGCCAGGTAGGCAAAATTATCCAGACTGATGACATCAATGATGGGACTCACTACACGGGTGTGGTCCTAGGAAGGGGGTGTGAGATGGTGTGAGACCCTCTGCAAAAAGGGGAAAAAAAAAAAGGCCCAGGCCCTGCTCTGGGAAGAAAATCTCTTTGGACGTGGGGTAGTCAGCCCAGGCCCATCCCAGAACCCTGACAGGCTCCTAGGAGCTGTGTGCATCTCCACACCAGGCTCCTAGAAGGTCCCTCCTGGGTCCCTAGGGCACAATGCTCCCTGGCCTCTTCCTGTCCCATCATTTCAAGGCTGCTGGGATCTCGCCTCCCTGACTGCTACCAGCTGAAGGATTTCTTCCTCTTTTAAGCTGCTCTCACCATCAGTGTGAGACAGTGTCCCAACTCCTGGGACAGTGACTCAGGTGCTGTGTGAGCTGGCCCTCCTGTTACTGGTTGAGCAGGACTTTTGTTTACTGCCACTTACCCCGGGACATGTTCGGGTGAGTCTTCCCAGCTGGACCACCAGCAACTTGAGGGTAGGAGTCCTAGGATCCCCAGGTAAGTGGGGACAGGTGCCACTTCTCTCAGGCCACATCCACTACAAGGCTGGCCACTCCCTGCATCCCACCCCCCAGAACCCAAAACACCCGTGAGTACTGTGGGCTTTGCTGTTTTGTGGGAGAGGTGGATGATGTGATAAACCTCAGGCAAAGCTCTCAACACTTTCTCTTAAACCACATTCAAAATTTAGTCTCACTTTATAGCCCCCTTTGTGTCTTGCTCTCCAGGGGGGCCACAAAGCAGTGCCTCTTTTTCCCCCTCTTCTCTTCACCTACTCTGCTTTCACCCTCAAATCGCTCTTGTCCCTAACTTGTGCTCCAGCCCCACGCCTCAGTTCCCACACCCTCAGGATAATGAAAACCTAGGGAGGGGGCTGTTCAGGGGGGATGGTCCCATGGCCTGTCTGTGCTCAGGGGTGAAAAGTGCTGTAAAAAGAAAATAAAGACCAGGCTCTGTGGAGCATGCCTGTCATCCCAGCGACTCAGGAGGCTGAGACAGGAGGATTGCAAGTTCAAGATCAGCCTCAGCAAATTAGTGAGACCCTGTTTCAACATTTAAAAACTAAATCAGCCTCACTGCTTCCTACTCATAGACATCTCTGTGCAGAGACAGAATTCACATGCTATAATCTCACAGCTTGAAAGCGTCCAGTTCAGTGGTCTTTAGTATGTCCAACCATCACCACTGGCTAGTTCCAGCATATTTCATCACCCCAGTAGGAAATGTTAATCTACTTTTTATTTCTATGAATGTGCTTATTCCGGACACTTCCTATAAATGGAACATATAATATATGGGCTCTTGTGACGAGCTTTCACTTCACACAAGGTTTTCAAAGTTCATTCGTGTTGTACCACACAGATGCACTTCATGTGTCTTTCTGGCTGGATGATATTCTATCACAGACACACCACATTTTATGTATCTAGTCATCAGATGATAGGGTTCCCTATCTTTTGGGCATTCTGAATACTGCCGCTCTGAACACTTGTGTGTAAGTTTTTATGTGGATGTAGTTTTTGTTTCCATGTGGAACTGCTAGGAATTCTATTTAAATTTGGGGGGAACTGCCGGACTGTTTTCCAAAGTGGCTGCACTATTATACCTTCCTGCCAACAATATCTGAGGGCTCCTGTTTATCCATGTCCTTGCCTGTACTTGCTAGTGTCCCTCTTTTTGATTATAGCCATCCTAGTGGCTATGAAGTGGGATCTCGTTATGGCTTAGACTTGTATTTCCTGAATGACTAATAAAGTCGAACATCTTTTCATGGGCTCATTGTGTATCTTCCTTGAAGAAATGTCTATTCAAATCCTTTGCCCATTTTTTAAAAATTGGGCTATTTGTCCTCTTCTAGTTGAGTTGTAACTGCCTTATCCTTCTTCGCCATCTGTCCAAATCCTCCCACTCTGGAGAACAGCAAGCACATAGAAGGAGCCCCCACCCTCCCCTCCAAACACACAGCTCACCTCCTTCACCCGCTGCAGCATGGGCTGCAGCCACTCCGTGTTCACTTCGCAGTGGCTATCCAGAAAGGTGAGGATGGCAGCTGCGGCCACATCTGCCCCTCGAACTCGGGATCGGATCAGCCCTGCAAAGGGAGAGGGCAGCAGCACTTGACACCAGAACTGAGCCAAGGTGCTGCCCAGGGCCCTCAGCCCCTATGGGCACAGGCTCTCTGAGGTATTGTCAGTGGCCTTCCTTCTGCACATCTGTTTGCTTCCTCCTTACCCTTTCTTCCTCTCTTCCATCCATCACCTGTCATTGTTCAAGGTCACTCCCTGAGCACCCTCCATACACCAGACAGTGCCGTTACGTTAGAGTGTAGTGAGTGGAAAATACAATAAAGTATGGGTTGAGACCGAGGTGGAACCAGAGCACAAAGCCCCTTCCACCTGGGGACATCTGGGCAGGCCTCTCCARGCACACCACCAAGTGTGACATGGAGAGAATCTTCTAGATTATAACAGGCTTGAGTTTGTGTGCCAACCCCTTCACTCACTTTGAGCATGTTATTTAGCCTCTCTGAGTCTCAGAAAGATACACTGAGCCCTGCCTGTCAGGAGGAACCAAGATGACAAGGGGAGAGCCCAGCGCCTGGGGGACCTACGCATGTTAGGTTGCGCTGTTCCATCCCCATCCCATGACAGTCTCACCAATGGCTCACTGATGGCAAAGAATGGCCTTGCTTCTGGCAGTTTCCTGCTCAGGCCTGAGGACCTATCTGGTCAGGAGAGAGGAAGTCCAGTTGGTCCTGCCCTGGACAGAGTAGCCATCCATGTCCTGTGAGCTGTGAGAAAGAAGGGCCTCACTCTAAGACCTCTGAATACAATCACTTTTTGGAGAGATGTCCCTGGCCACACCTCTCTCCAGCTCTCAGCCTGTATCTATCAAACCAGCCATCCATCTTTCCAAAAGCCTATTAGTAGGCTAAGGCAAGAGAAATGCAAGTTCATGTTTGAGGTCAGCTTCAGCAACTAAGCAAAACAAAATAAAAAGGGCCGGGGATGTAGCTCAGAGGAGAACCCTCTTGGGTTCAATCCCCACAACTGGAAAAAAATAATCTGCAGCCTCCACAGGCTGATGGCCCCTACAATGCAGTGGTTTGGGAAACATTTCTCTTTGGTTACTTCTATGACAGTTGAAGTCCTCCCTCATCAATATCCCCATRGCCCCTTGGCCTGACGGGTCTTAAGTCGCCCATCCCATTCCTCTCTCACTCTCAAATCATCAGTGGCTCCCAACAATAGACTCCTTCCCTTCCCAACTCTAAATGCCCTCTTACGGCTTCCAAGGCTTTTTTTGTTGTTACCAGGTATTAAACCCAGGGGTGCTTAACCACTGAGCCACATCCCCAGCCCTTTTAAAAAATATATTTTATTTAGAGACAGGGTCTCGCTGGGTTGCTTAGGGCCTTACTAAGTTGCCGAGGCTGGCTTGAACTCACAATCCTCTTGCCTCAGTCTCCRGAGCCACAGGGATTACAGGCGTAGGCCACGATGCCTGGCCCAACATTTTTGACATCAAAATTCACTGTCCTTTCCTGACTATGGACCAGGACTGGATTCTCACAGGAAGGAAGTGGAAGCAGAGGGAGAGGACAAGAAGCTGGCCTTTGGGTGGACTCCTGGATCCTCCATTCATCACCCTGGGCAAATTACAGATCCACCTGAAACCTCAGCTTCCCTGTCTAAAACATGGGGACAACGGGGCATTATGAGGATAGGATGTGACAGCGTAGGCTCCGTGAATGCCTGGCATGGGTGAGCACCACACACGTATGCATCCTGCGCCTGCACCACCTCCAAGCCAGGCATGCCCTCCTCTGCTCCCTTCCTGAGTCTCACAGGCCCAACACTCTCCTCAGGCCACCCCTGCACAGAAGCCTCTTGCTTTCCYACCTCCACATTATCCGACTATAACCAGCCTGTGTGGTGGTGATTTCTGACTCTTGGCCACACACTAACCCCTCGAAGGGCCTGGACCATGCTTGTTGTACTTCTCATGTGTCCCCTGAGGGCTGAGCACGATGCTATGCTGTCACTGGTGTTCCCAAACACCTCTGGATTCAAGGTGAGTTCACAGCTACTTTATCCTCCCTTCAGTTTTCTCAAAGGCCCTTCCATTCCATCCTGACAGCCTCCTTCCAAGGCAGAAAGAGCGCCATCACTGCCTTGCTTCTCAGAAGGAACAATGGAAGCATCCAGAAGGACGGCAAGGTGCCTAGGTTGTGCTGTGACAGGGCTGACTGGCGATAGAAGGAGGGTCCTCTGCAGACCCTGGTCCCAGCGGTCAGGAAGGGAGCAGGACCACATTGGCTCAGATGACATGGTACCCAGAGGGCACCTGAGGTCCAAGCACTCACCTTCCCGCCGGTCGTTTCGCAGGCACTTGACCTTGGGGATCCTGGTCAGGAGCACGCAATCTTCAGCTGAGGTGGAGGGAAGGAAGGCAGGTTCRTTCAGATATGGGCATCAGACCACAGTGGTTAGGCTGCACCGGGGGCCGTCCCATTCCAGGTTGGGGAAAGGGGTGGGATGGGGAAGGATGGAGGGCCATGGTCATCACTACTGGTCAAAGGACTGTCCTGCACCAGTCCCAGACAGGAATGCCTGAACCTATGACATCAGTTGAACCCCACCCAGGGAGTGCCGGAGAGCACCAGCAATGGGCAATGGCCCAGCTCTCAAATCTACTCTTTTTTGCAGTACTGGGATTTGAACCCAGGAGGTTTTGTGGTTGTTGTTGTTGTTTTTATCACTGATCTACATCTCTATCTTTTTTTTTTTTTTTTTTTTGGTGCTTGGGGATTTGAACGCAGGGCTTCAT